CTGTGTGTCTGTGTGTCTGTGTGTCTGTGTGTCTGTGTGTCTGTGTGTCTGTGTGTCTGTGTTTCTGTGTGTCTGTGTGTCTGTGTGTCTGTGTGTCTGTGTGTCTGTGTGTCTGTGTGTCTGTGTGTCTGTGTGTCTGTGTGTCTGTGTGTCTGTGTGTCTGTGTGTCTGTGTCTGTGCTGTGTGCTGTGTGCCTGTGTGTGTGTGCTGTGTGTCTGTGTGTCTGTGTGTCTGTGTGTGTGTGTGTCTGTGTGTCTGTGTGTCTGTGTGTCTGTGTGTCTGTGTGTCTGTGTGTCTGTGTGTCTGTGTGTCTGTGTGTCTGTGTGTCTGTGTGTCTGTGTGTCTGTGTGTCTGTGTGTCTGTGTGTCTGTGTGTCTGTGTGTCTGTGTGTCTGTCTGTTGCACTGCACACAACGAGGTGACTGAGACACAGCAACTCCATCACGCACATCATGAACAATGCGCTTCATCAAACCCCGGACAGCTGTGCGGCGCTTCTAACTTCTAAGGGACACTTCCCTGTTTTGTATTTGACCATGGTTGCTTATGGCGTTGCTCACGCAGTTGCTATTTGTTGCTCATGCGGCCCTCATGAAGCCCTCATGAGGTCCACTAGGAGATCTTTGGAAGCCTCACAGCACAGGCCGGATGATGCTTGAACAGGGGGAAGCTCCACAAGGTTTTCATGAGATTCGATTCTTCTGACAAATTGTCAAAGCAAATCGGTGCCAGCATGCAAAGAAACTTGCCCGGGGTATCTTAAAGATTGCATTCTGCCCATACGTCGATAAGCGCACTCGTGGGGCTGAAGCGGAGTGTCGGTGCCCCACGAGTCGGTGCATCGCCGTATTGACCGATACGCTGGCACGCCGATACAGCATCAGTGCGCCGATGCGGCGGCAAGCGGAGTGACGACGCGGAACTGGGCGTCCGGAACGTGGCTGTTCTGTCTTACGATGCCATGGTATTTCGCTGAAGAAATTTGAAGTGTTACATAAGTGTTTTGAATGGCACACTGTCCGCCAGGCTACAAGGATCGGTCCAGCTCACGCTCCATCATCCGGCCTGGCTGCTCCACGTCCAATCCCTCTGTGATGGACATTGAATGCGTCGCACCCCAGTCGGACATCACATAGCCTCAAGCAAAATGGTTTTCCTGGCGAATCCAGCAAAACAGCATCCGCTCTTCGGGCCTTCAAAGTTCAGTGTCTTCTTCAAATCATGACGCAACGTCATGGGATTCTCGCAGCTCCAGTCCCCGTTGATCTTGTTGTAACTGCCTAACATGCATCCAGCAGAAGCTCGAGCTCTCACTCAGACGTCTTGGTAGCAAAAGTACTGAGCTTGGCACACATCATAGAGCCAACACCAGCTTCAACGGCACCCTCGAATGGTGGGTAATACACTTCCTTGCGATGCTGCATCCAAAGAGAGCCAGTTGGCATCAGCCCAGGACTTGCCAAGCGAAAACCGACATAGCTGACATAACTGACATAAGTGACAAAAGTCACAACATGCTTCCAATACCAAATGTCCAAGATTCGAACCGAGTTCTCTCATCGACTTCCTCGCTAACCTGGCTTAAAGACTTAGAAACCCCTTCAGGACGGTCCCTAGCTCAAGAATTTCAGTCAAGGGACCCCAACGCGATTTGTTTCCTGGTTGTTTTGAATGAAATGCTTGGCATTGGCCACGACCTTCTGCGACTGTATGCCTTTGACAACAGGCTGCACAAGCTTGTAGCCAAGGTAGGGGTCTTCCCCCGAAAGGTACTCAAAGTTCCGGCCGTTCCTTGGCAAGTGACCGGCAGCTCAGGAAAGGCATGGCAGCAGCAAAGTCAAGATGCTCCTGACCTGCAACCTGACAGTTCCAAGTTTCAGCGGCACCCGTGCCACATTCAGTCCGGGCCCAAGCTGGACGTTCGAACCCTTGTCGTAAAACTCTTTGCCCATGCCTTGTCCCCACTCCTTAGAAGATCAGGTGCGCATTACTCAGAATGAACAAAAAAAGCAGAGTTGCACATGTCAATACTTTGACAAGCCGTCGGTTACACAAGTGTTACAATTGTTACACAGTACCGCACATGAAGCCGTGCTGTAAAGAGCAAGAAAGGGGGGTGGGGGTAGTAGGTCAAGAAGAATCGCAGAAAGTGATCGATTTGCACTAGAACCTAAACAAGCCTCGCCTGTATCCTAGAACACCATCCAGGCGGTCCCTAACAGAGGCGATTGATCCTGCCTGTAATGCGGGCAAAAATCGCTGAGAACCACTGCTTCGAAGATGCCAGCACTTGCTACTGAAACGGTTCTCTAAATCCAAGGGGCCTTTATGTTTCTCAGAACTTCAAAAAACACAAAAAAAAACTGAACGCATTTCCAGCTCGAACTTTTGTGTGTCGATTGGAAAGGCTCGCCCCAAAGATGCCAAAGGCGGTCCTGAAAGAAGATCGTTCTCCCAAGGAGGCGCCAGCACAAGTCCAGTCATGTGACCTCCTGCGATGTCTTCTTTAGACTTAAGAAGTACGGCTGACGAAGATCGCAACGCCTGCTTAAGGAATGGTGGACCAGATCGCCCGAATCTGGACAGCGGACAAACAACGGTGTCAGAGAATGAAATTCACAACCGCAGTAGGCCATCACTTTCGTCCCGCTCACCGACTGATGCTCGTGAAGAGTCAAAAAGTCGAGTAGTGGGGGAGGAAGCAAGCCATGGCAAGGACACGCAGATGAAGACCCAGAGACCCAGTATGCTCGGACAATGGTCATGCAGTGCCAGGCAGAAAAGGCCAACCGGCAAATGCGGCATAGCAGCCACCAGGCGCGAAAACAATCCTTACGGACCAAACGGGCGGATGCGCCATGATTCACCTGTGAGCTTCGGATGCAGCAGAGGTAGGCAGATACATCCTATGCCACATTCGATGCCGTTGCGAATGGACCAACACAACCACGCTCACCGGTCAGGACTAGTCCATTATGAGAATATGCAGGTGCAGTTAGGGTAAGGAGCGGTGCAGTTTCCGATAGTTTCCGACCCTTTATCAAGTTGGCACGAAAATTCCGGCTCGTCCGAGAAGCTTGCAGGCAGAAGTTCGCACCAGCCGGAAGCCGACACGGACTGTAGTGCGGTGGGCAGTGCTGCTGGACCAGATCGGCTCTCTCAGGCGTAAGTTTGACCCAGGGGTGAGCACAGCTGATGTGCGCGGAAAGGATGAAGCCTTATGGGAGGCATCCGTGGCTAAGACCGTCGGCCAAGTCGCTATGAAATCCCAGAACGTCATGTCAATGAATATGGACAGACATATGGCGGCGCTATTGCAAAAGAAGGAAAGAGCGAAAGAAAAAACACGTTATGGCGAGGGGAAGCACGCGCACAGGCAGGTGACGAATCCGAAGTATGCGAGAAGCTGTAGCAGTCCGCATTGAGGGAGCAAGTAAAGCGGCACGAAGGCTGAGGGCGGGGGCATGCGCGACGGAAGCAGTGTCATCCAACTGGGCAAATTGACAGCTCGCGCGATGGAAGCAACTTTAACGGATTTCGAGGAAGCTCATGAACTGTGTGAACATGACTGACCAAACGTGCCCAAAAATCCTTTGAAAGGATTATTTCGTCAAGGCTTTCTGGGCAGGATTCTAAAACCATTACCATTACAGTGCGTTCATTTCATTCCGATATACCAATCCTTGTAAAGTACCACGAGCTCCTTCTCATATAGTAATACTGCTATTAAAAATTCTGTCATGATAGTTGAACAGGTTAGAACCTGGCCTAAGCCTGAAAGGGGAAGGACCAGGCACAACCAAAAGAAGGGCTCAGGGACCCTCAAAGCCCTCAACCCTGCGTGCAAGCCGCACCTCATGCGGCCTTTTTACTTGAGCCAAAAATGTGGTCAGAAGGTAAGTCATCCTAGTCTGCACAACATGACTATACATGCTTTACAATAGAGGAAGGAAGCTCGTGATTCTTCAACTCCCCCCTTCATGTTTGCAGAACTTTCAGTCGCCAAGCTCATTACAGCTCGATTACGGACTTTAGGAAGACTGCAGCTGCAAGCTCAGCTCAGCAGCTAAACCTACTGTCGATTGTGGCGCGGGCTCAGCCATGCGCAGTTGAATCCGGTATCTCAGGTGATCAGGCTGAAACACAGACTCAATGAACCTTTAAGGTAATTCTACCTGCAATCTATACAAAACTACTCTCAACCGGTGCAGGACTGTGCTCAGGCGAAGTCAGAGCGGCGCTTGGGAGCAGCCGGACACTGACACAACGCAGTGCAAGGCTGAGGGCAGGCAAGAAGTGCAGGATGAGATCCTCAAGAACTCATTCAGATGACACAGGGATGATGGCTCATATCCAAGTGTCTGCAAAAGCACGATGATGGAGGTAGCGCAGGAGCAGCTTGACAACCATCACAAACATATCACCCAAGGAATTTTCAAAAGACTTCAGGTGACAGGGAAGTGCATGCTTAGATGGGAACATCTGGCAGACGCTCAGTGGAGATGTGGAGCAACTTCAGTGCATGAGCCCACTTCTGGACCGAAAGAGCCTTCGTCAAAGGATCACCTTTCTGGTCATTAGTGTTGACATAGCCCAGTTCAACATCATCGTTGTCGTTCACAGCTTCGCACGTAGATGAAACGTTGATGCGATGAGTTTTGGACAAATGCCTCAGCTTAGCTGAATATCCTTTACGGACAATGGCAATGCAAGCCTCATTATCTTCACGACACAAGAGCTTAATGCCCGGGATTATGGTTTGCCAAACTTCAAGTAATGGCAAGGCATCATTGAACAGCGCACTGCTCAAGGACACGAATTCTGCTTCGGTAGAGCTCCTTGAGACCACTTTCTGTCTCTTGCTGGACCATGACAGAAGAGCAAATGAGTTGCTTCCTTCAAGGGCAACGATATACCCACTTGTGGAACGCGCGGTGTCAGGACAGCCGCCGAAATCTGAATCCACATACAAGGCAAGGTGCAAAGATGAAGCTGGGTCGTGGACAAACATCACAGGGTTGTATTGAACCGTCGCAGCAATGTAACCCACCAACCTGGCAACCCTTTTATCATCGTTCACTGACCAACGACAGACATTGGTCGTGAGGGTAGTGACGGCCACCATAAGATCTGGGCGATTCAAACGTGCAAGCCACAGAATCTTCATCAGGATGCGAGCGGCGCTGTCAGCAAGAGAACCCCGAGCATCATTATCACTTAGTGATAGAGCTCCTGGGTCAACATGCGGGGTCCTCTGGTGCTTAACAGCGGAACCAACCAAGGATTCATACAAGTCAACACACTGTTTGGCGAAGTCTTCAGTTTCCAACGCAAGGGCTGGTTGATTGTCATACAAGACGTGGCGATGACTGCGACCAAGCACTCTGGTGAGAGGAGCATAAGGCTCGAGGTCAACTTGTTTCGACAAGGAACTCCAGAAACCTTTATGCTTCGACAACTTCCCGCTCAATGTGAGGTCGTCAACATATACGCACAAGATCAGATCCAATGTGGGAAAATAATACACAGAAGGAAGGTTGGGGAATTCAATTCCACCAAGACCAGTGAGAATGCCATGCAAATGCCTTTGCCAATGCGCTGATGACTCAGGGTGTCCATACAAGGCCTTGTAGAGCGGTGCACAGGGCTGAATTACGTCTCTCTTAGAAGCTGGGACGAGTTCTGGTGGCAAGAGGACGAAAGTTCGGTTTTTGCTCTTCAAGGCTGCTTGTGTATACGCCTTAATGGCGTCGCTAGTTGTCACACCATGAGATTCGAGAAGACCGAATCCAATGACCGTGTTCAGTCCCTCAAGCGAAGAAGGGGCAGACGCGAAGAGTTCTTCGAACACAGCAGACATTCCAGTCTGGTCACGTATATCGTCTCCACGAAAGACGATACGCGCCTTAAGCTTCCAAGAATCAGGCTCTAGTTCGGCGCCTTTCACACTCATGATGACCATCAAGTTTCCGAAGTGGATCACATTGGAAGTCCTGCGAGCCCATGCAAGAACCTCACTCTTCGGCATGATCTCTTCTTCTATCCAGGTACCTGCCTTCAAAAGACCATCCTTTTCTTCTTGGACCTTTTCAAGCGCAGCAGGCTGGGAAGTCCATTCCCTTCTATCCAACAGCCGATGGACGTAACCAGGGATTCGGATGTGGCGCATACCAGACTCAAACATCAGGAGATCGAGCGGTAGTGGCGGCCGAACGTCCTTAACCCTGTGAAGTTGAGGGAAAGTGGGCACACATGGCAACGCCGGTGCAACAAATGCTTTCGCATAAGGAAACAAAGATGCCAAAATTGCCCTGGCCATGGCCTCAGGGTAAAAGGCTGAGCGTCTTGAGTCTGAACCTTCAACGGTATCGTGCTTGAAGTGCTTAGGATGTGAACACTGATAAGCCGCAAAGTCATGTGCCAAACGCTTACTACTAGTCAATATCTTCCAAGGCTTCAGCATTGGGCCACCTCTGGAAGACACAAGTCCGAAAGCGCATCCGTGGAACTCAACGGTGAGAAGATTGAATTGGTCAACAAAAGCAATGATCTCAGGCAAAGACCAACCAGCAGCGTCTCTTGGCCACTCGAAACTTACTTCACCCCCCTGAAGTATGACTAATGCAGCAACCCGGATGAATTGCAACAATAGCTTCCGGGATTTCTCCCTTTCGGCGGTAAGCTTTTCAAGGTACCCCGGCTTAGTGGCCAGGTTCATGCGGGACCACGCTGACCAAGGTCCACATTCAAGGGATCCATGGATGCAGCAACCAGGAGTTGCACTGACTTGGTGGATGAGCTGATCGATGGCCAAGGGATCCTCGAGATTGATGCTTTCACGGCACAACCGAACCACTTGAACACCCAGTTCTGGACCAAGGTGCCCAATCATGGAATCCGGAGCGCAGCAAAACTCATAAAGTACCAATGCACCAGGCTTCTGATGCCGACAGGCAGGCAAAGCTTC